CAGCCCCGGGTCGGGGCCGGGGGCGGGTCCAGCGTTGCCCGCCCGTCGCCAGCACCGCGGGCCCTGCTAACGACAGGGCACGTTCAGCCAAGGGCTCGCCCTTGTGCTTAGCTGCAAGGCCTCGGAGATGCCCGCTGGAAAGGCTCCGCTCTCTGCGGAGAGTCCCACTGCAGCCCTCGGGCTGTTCCCTCAGAGGCACCGGGTGTCGGCTACAGCCCGGGGCGGGGACGTGGCCTGGGCTGTGCCAGTGCTCCTGTGGGGCCCCAGGCTGGAGGGGCTCTTCCTGCTGCCCCCCCCTCCCCCCAGACTGGTCAGAGCTGGGGCAGGCAGGAATCTGACCCCATGGTCGGACAGGGATGGACGGCAGGTGGGGGTTGCTTTCCTTCCTCACAGTGGCCACAAGTAGGGGGTGCACATGGGTGCCGTTTCAGGTGGGTAGGACACAGGGTGCCGTGGTTCCCTGCTTTACCTGTGGCAGGTTAGGGTATTAGGTCCGTGTTGCACCTCAGTTGGTTAGACGGAGAGTTTAGATTATGGTTGTATGGGATGGTTTGGACAGGGATGACCCTGCCTCAGGCAGGGGGTTAGACTAGATGACCTTCCAGCCCTGCTTCTTCAGGATTTTGCCTCATGGCTTTTCAAGTCTGAAACAGACCCAACAAATAAACCAGCTCAGCCACTCCGTTCCTACACTTTGAGGCCTTATTTTGCCTCTTGCGCTGTTCTTTCCCCTTAGCTCTACCTTCAAGCAGTCCATGGCTGCCTGCTTATACTGAGGTTTTCCTGACCTGCATATGACTTTTTGCCCTGTACCACCACCCACCTCTATTGCTCCTACAGTTCATCACAAATGTACATGTTTTGAGTAGAGTTACCACAGAAAATAACACTTCCCTATTCTGGAGGTTACCTTGAAACTGAAGAAAGCATTTCTTTGCTTGTTCTGCATACATGTACAACATGAGTTTTAGGTCTTGAGAGACTGTTTCAGAGTGAGAAGGGGAACAGAGGGATTGAGGTCATGGAGGTCAGCTGGTTAACTGATAGCAGGGGATTTTTTTCTCTATGAGGATCAGCAACACAGTAGATTGGACTCCTATGGAACTTGGTATGTTTGACATAAGATTGATAACTCATTTAAAGTTTTTTGTACAGGGGGAGGAGTTGGAATTGCCCAGTAGAATGAAGATATTTACTGAAAAAAATGTAGGTGGTGTACCCCAGAACTGACCAGAGTAGCTAGTCTATAGTCCTATACCACAAGCTCGTCACAAATTGAAAATGTATACCTTTCCCCTTGCCCCATGCTGCACTTTGAAGACAGGAGGAGCTCCCACATCTGCAAAACTGCTGCAAAAACTCCTCAGTCACAGCTGTAGTGCTGTGACTGCTCAGCAGAAAAGGAAAAGCCGCCTTCTATTACTTATGAGCCCCTTGTATGCCAGCAATATCCATTTGCTGTGCCCATGGGACAGGGCTCTCTTTATTCCATGTTTTTGCTGTGCCTTGCATAATAGTGCCAAGATCCATGATTAAGGCACTACACCACACTATAAATATGAAGTAACTGACACAAGCTGTGTCCCTGCTGTATCTTTTAGCTTCCTAGCACATCTATTTATTCTGATTTATGCTAGGAAAAATATTCATGTCATGGTGTACACACCAGATTAGATGCACTGAAATTTTCATTTTGGAATTTCATTGGGTTATGATTGATATCAGTGTTTCTGAAACAAAAATACATAAACAGACGGTTTACTAATTACCAGAGGTAATCTGGATCTGCTGCCCATAAATGAAGGCTTGTTTTGCATCATATCCACACCCTTATTTTAAAGTTTCTCACATGGATGTGGTGTACCATTATGGGAAAGGGGCACGCTTGAAAAAGACCGGTAAAGAGAAGTATTTTATACCAAGAATAATATCCTCCAGGATCAGATAAGTAAATTATATTATTATTAAAGAAAAAAACCTCAAAGCGATGTCAAATAATCTTGAGTTTCCAGTCAAGCAATATTTTTTTTCTTTTTTCCAGCATCAGAAATAGTAACCGAGAAGAGGCTAGATGAACACTCTTCTTAGAAGAGTACTCTTTCCTGCCATGGCAGGGGGTCGGACTTGATGAGCTGCTCAAGTCCCTTCCGACCCTACCAACTATGAAACTATAAGAGCAGCGTGAGCAAGGTACCACATAAAAAAAGCCACACAGGAAACAGTAGAACCTTGCAATTTCACACACTATAATCTGCAAAAGTCGCACTGTTAGCTAGCTACAGAAGCCATTTTCCTCATTGTTCCAGTGAGCTCATATTACAAAAATTCTTTCCTTGCAAAAACTACATATTTACTCAAATATGACAAGATCCCCCCCATCCGCATGCAAAAGAAACCTCTTGTCTTATATTACAAAGCAAGGCGGGGGGCAGGCAGCTGCTGCAGCTCCGACTGGCCCTGAGCCTATGTCAGTCCCACAGCAGCTCCCTGCCCCCCTTCCGTTTCCTCTCTACTCCCCTTCTCCTCCCCTCACTCCCTTCCTTCCCCTATCAGGCATAGCTGGGCTCTGGCTGTGGCTGGGGTCTCTCCCAGGCACAGGGCACATAGAAAGTCTTTCCCCTGCCCAGCAGCACACGTGCACTGCTGTGTTGCCTGCCTGGCCAATCAGCAGCACTGGCACTACTGCATGGCCAGGCAAGGGCTGAGCTTCCAAGCACTGTGGCCTCCACGGCTAAGTACAGACAGTCAAAAAGCCTGAGGCTGAATCGATTCAGTCTTTGCAGGTTAGTCTAAGATTCAGATATTAAATTGAAACACAAGTGAACAGACATTTACCTTTGATTCAGGAAGTGCCACATGCTTGTAGTGGCTCAGTCCAGAAGCCCAGAGCTACTAGAGCATGGCTGTCTGGCTGTGTGTTCACTTCCTTTTCCTGCTGCCCCCGAGGTCTCTGGGATTTGCAGTCCAAAATCAAAGCAGCAGGACTCTGCAGGGTGCTCATCACTTCCTCTTCATGCTTCCAGGTAACTCTGAGGTACCTGGGAGGGGAATTTCATCCCCCTCTCTGGCCCCAGGCCCCAGCTGGGGTTTGCCTGGGGAGGGGCAGTCCCATCCCCTCTGCAGACTAGGCTACAGCCCCAGCCAGGCTTCCCCTCACCCTCTTATATGGTGGCTATCATAGAAGACAGTCCAGATGTCCTCTGTCCTCTCTTGATACAAAACCAGACGCCTGTACGTCCTCTATTTTTCTCTTGAAGAGAAAATAGAGGACAGGACATAAAGGCGTCGGGTTTCGTATCAATAGAGGACAGGACAGAGTAGCAGAAAACCGGAATGTCCTCTATGATGGCCATCCTACCCTCTTATCAGCCAGCCCTCAGTGCTCCAGCTAGGGAATAGAGGGGCAAGGCTAGCCCTGCTTTCTGGAGCAGACAGCACAGCATAGCACAGCCCAGGGCGACAAAGCATTCGGGGGTACTGTGATTTAACTTAGAACCAGGAAGGGGTCTGGGACAGAAGTTTCATAAATTGGTTTGACCCAAATCAGTTAAGTCTGATGCTACATTCAACCAAGTTTATTTTAAACCAGTTTCAGCCATTTTGAAGCTGGTTTATATGCACTGAGCTTTTGTTCTGTTACAGGTTTGAACCAGTTTTTGATCACCTAAACTGGTTTATGTGCAACTTAAGTCCCTAGCCTGTGAACAGCCTGAGCAGTATCTGACAGTAAGGTGGGGGAGAGAAGGAGGGGAAGAGACAGAGACTGCAGGGAAAGGCAATTTTTCCATATACTGTATAGAATCTAAGTATTGGGAGTGGGGGGGTCATCTTATATTCAGGGTCATCTTATTGAGAGTCATAATTATATGTTATATTCAGGGTCATATTATCTTCAGGGTCATATTATCTCATTTTGTGAGTAAATACGGTGCTTTGCCATATTTACTCTTTATAATGGTTCATAGCACACAAGACTAAAGCTGCAGTTGTCCAAAACAAAACAGGAAAGTCAGTTTTGTGATGTGATGTCACTATTTTCTCTCAATTATTCACTTAGTCCCAAGCTCCAATACCTATGCTCACATCAAATAGCACTTCAATCAACCAATGGTCCTATTGATTTGCTGAGTAAGATATTTGAATATAGGTATCTGAACTGGACTTCTCTTTCCTCATTTTCATTGGAGCTCAAGATCATTAGAAAGGTTCTGCTTTACCATGTTTACGACTTCAATCTTGCAAATCCTTACTCCTTTCATTGGCTTTAACATCCCTACTCAAACATGCAGCTTTTAGATTTGCTTTTGGTCTCCAGCCAACACTCAGATGATTAATACCAATCCCAATGGGGACAACTCATATAAATGCCTGCAGATACAAGTCTTTAACATGCACTGTATTCATCAATAATAATGTCTCCATAATATTACATAGGCGACAGAGAGGGCAGGGGGGCACGTGCCTGTCCTGAGAGCACTGGTGCCCCCCCACAACAGCGAGCGCTT